ATATTTCTGCTTTCTCCTGTCTGTCTGTCTGGCCCCTGGTGTCTCCCTCCTTTTCTCCCTTGTTCTCCTCCTCCAGCCTAGGTTTCTTCTTCTACTTATTGTCTCTGCCCCTCAGCCCCACCTGTCCCTCCTTTGCCTAGCTATTGGCCGTTCAGCTTTTTATTAGATCTATCAGGTGCCTTAGGCAGGCAAGGTGAAACAAATGTCACACATCCTTACATTGTTAAGCAAATACATCATAAACAAATGTAGCACACCCTGACATAGTTAAAGTAACATTGCACAACAGATTTTACCCTTCTTTTGCCTTGTATCTTAACCTCACCCTTCATTCCTCTTTGGCATCCTTAGTAGCACCCCTCTTAGTTTTGAAGTCTTTTTTTTTTTGGTAGGCGGAAGTTTCTGCCCTGCTAGCCAACTCACAAATAACTGACCAGAGACTCAATATTAATTTCAAAAGCTTGGCCAATAGCTCAGGCTTTTCACTAACTAGGTCTTACAACTTACATTAACCCATTCCTGTTAATCCATGTCCTCTAGCATGTCTTGTTCCTCTGTGTCTCCTGGCAGCTTCACTGACTCTGCCCTTCTCCCTTCCATACTTCCTGCCTGGCTATCAGCCTCCTAGCATGTGCTTGCTGTTCGGAAGCAGCCTCACTTCTGTCTTGATGTTCCTGAGGTTTGGCATCAGCTGTATAAGGCCTACTAGATCGAGTCTTCTTTTCTCATGGGCACAGTGCTCAGGGTTATTGGAAAAAGCAGAGTAGGCAACTTTGAACACAAAGGACTTATAAGTCAGAATGGACTTCAGAGGGAAACCGAGTCACATGTGGACTTCCACCTGATGTAAATTCTGTGAATGTGAATGTTAATGACCTCTCCCCTGCTGTCATCACACACAAATGCAAATGAACGGTTCAGTCCTTCCACTGCTCTTCAGCAGGTGCAGGTTACTAGATGAGAACAGAGTAAGTGTTGGTTTATAGGCCAGTGGAGTTTGATCATTTATTTCTGTAGAATCATGACCTGTAAAATATTTAAAAAATTGTTTTGTGTCTGTTGGCACCTGAGTGCTTATGCTCCCCTCGGACTTGATACTGTTACTGTTTTGCATACACAAATGTGAAAATGAGAATTTTCCTGCTTCTTGCATATTTTCACTATCCATCAGGTTCTTAGTCCATTACCCATCGCATTCATTGACTTGCTGGCTTTATTTGTTACAGGGTAGCACACGACGTGTGTAAGTACAACAGTAAGGAAGAAGTCAGGGCTGATCTCAGAATCCCAGCTTTGGGGTATTGGCATAATGGTCCTCATTAAAGGAGGGCCTCTTGGAGAAGCCGCTGGTGAAGCTGTGTTAGTTGTTTGGCATATCGGTTACATCTTCAGCTGTCTGATTGGTGTGCTGCTGTGAACATGTATGTGCTCCTGGATAAAAGGCATGCGCTGTCTCTTGTTTAGTTAGTCTGCAGCCTTTAAGAGCAGCATAGGAAGAAGCAGAAAATGCCCTAAAACTTGATTATTAACCTGTCATTTCCTACCTGCCTTTGTACAGGACTTATTTAAGTTTTATTATAAAGAGGAAAAACTGTGTTAAGGAGCTGTAATTCTTCTTTGCACCTTTTATTATGCATTAGCAATTAACTCTAGTTCTCACAAGGTTGATGAATTTGAACTTGATCAATTATCTGATAGTAATTACAAGTGTAGAGTGATTATCTTTGCTGAAGTGACATTCTTATTTCATCTCTGTATTTCTGGCACTTTTCATAAATGCTTGCATTTGTTTGACTTCAGAATATGACTTGCTCTCTTGACTCTGTCATTGAGGTCAAACTACTTAAACTGAGTAGTGCTTGAACAAAATCCTGGGGTGCTTAAAACCCTCAGGGCACGCCTTCTGGGAGTAGTAAGGGAGCAGGCTCAGTCTTCCCGCTGTAGACTTGAATGTTCTAATTCTTGCTTCTTGGCAGATTCCTTTTTTTTTTTTCCCTTCTAGTTCTTGGCTATGCTATCCCCCTGCCCTTAGTGTCTCTATTCCTTCTTAGGGAGGGGTTCTCTGCTGCTGGGATTGGCACTGTCTTGATAAATGTGTCTAGACTTGGGCTAGTTCTGCCCTCCTGGCTCCAATGGGACATAGAGAGAAGGGGCGTCAGTCTTTGTGCTAAGGTTGTCATGCACGATTTATACACAGAAGTGATCCCCCTGCATCCCCGGGGGCTAGAACTCCAGTATAAAGTCACTGGCATGGCTTATGTCTTCTGTGGGTTTTTCCTTGACTGTGGGTGACTTTTTTTTTTTTTTACTTGTATCTTAGTGTGGTCTGCTCCCCACCACTGTCTGTTTCCAGATACATTTCTTCCAATGATGTAAGCCATGTTGTCTGGGGCCACCTGATAGACTGTTTCAAATTTATACACCTTTTAAAGGCTTTCTGTCTTAACACGGGTGCTGGAGAAATGGCCTAGTGGTTAAGAGTACTGACAGCTTACCCAGAGGACCTGGGTTTGATTCCTAGAATGCACATGGTGACTCAACGGTAGCTTCAGTTCCAGGAAACCAGGTATCCTTTTCTGGCCTCTTTGGCTACTGCATGCATGTTGTATACACGTATATGTGTAGGCAAAACACCCATAAGACATAAAAATAATGGTAAAAAAATTAAACACAGTTAGAAATTAAAAGTTTAACATGTAAATGCTTGTTTTTCACAATTGATTCTGTAACCAGGGCCCCCCCCTTTGTACACACAATTTGATAACCTAAGAAAATGAGTAAGGGTTGGGCAGTGCACACTTTAATCCCACACTAGGGAGACAGAGGCAGACGGATCTCCGTGAGTTTGAGGCCAGCCTGGTCTACAGAGTGAGTTCCAGAAAAGCTAGAGCTGTTACACAGAGAAACCCTGTGTTGAAAAAACTAAACAGAAAAAAAGAAAATGAGTTAGGAAGGGCTAGGGATGTAGTTTGATGGTATAGTCCTTACCTAGCATGCTTGCAGGCTTACATTCAATTCTCAGGATTGCCAGGAAGAAAAAGAATAAAAAAGGAAACCATTGGTGCTGGGGGTGAGGGCTCTGTGATTAAAGTGCTTACTGTGTAGGCCTCGGACCTGAGTTCAGATCCTCTGCACCCATACCCTCATAGAAGCAGAGTATGGTGCCATGTGCCTGTGATCACAGTGCTATGGGATGCAGACACTCTGTGTAACTGGAGGTTTCTCTCCCGCCAGCCAGTTCCTGAATTATAAACTATTTGACCTATTAGCTCAGGCTTATTGTTAACTAGCTCTTACAACTTAAGTTAACCCATTTCTGTTATTCTATATTTTACCACAAGACTCATGACTTGTTACCTCACATCATGCCTGGCTCTATTCTGTCCGACTATTGGCCAAATCAACTTCTTTCTTTTTAAAAATTTACTAATGGTAATAACAATATATTCACAGCATACAGAAAAGCATCCCACATCATCTCCCCTTTGCTGTCTAATTGAAAAGGAAGGTTTTTAACTTTAACATTGCAAAATTATATAGAACAAAACAGGTATCAAGCAAGAACTACAGTTATAATATTTAGTCTGTTTGTATTTGGCAAAAAGTCTGTTCATAATGGTGAGATGTAGGTTCAGAGAGAAAACACTGGGGTAGAGAAGCAGCTGAGGCCATGACATCTTCATGTCAGCCTTTGGCTTCCATACATGCTTACATGCACATAAAGCAAAGAAGAATAAATGGCAAAGGAAAAAAAATACTGATTTTGACTGTGTGACAGCTTGTGTGTGTAGTGTGCTGCGATTTATAGGATGTGTTCACATCGTCTCCTTCCCATCCTAGCTTAACACAGGAATTCTGTCCTTGTTCCCAGATAGACCACCCAGAAGCCAGAAGTTTCCTGACTCGTTTGTGTCTAGGTAGCTCTGCACCCAGACCTTTAGAGTCTGCACTGGCCGCCACGTGCAGGGGAGGTTACAAGAGTAGTCCTTGTGGGCAGATCCCATGACCTTTGATGATTGAATTCTTGTGTTCTGGAAGTTGGGGGGTTAGTGGTATTTCCTTGGCAATCAGTGTGTTCTTGTTAACATTTGTAGTGCAGAAAACAAATACACAGTCAGAAAGCTTTGACTCTGAAAGTAAGGAGACAAAGCCCCGTTCTTGCTGAGGTGGCATTTCAAACATAGATACAGAAAGATTGCTGTAATGAGCTCCATGCTCCAGCAGTTACTTGAGTTTTGCAAGGCTTCATCTCTTATCCCTTTCTTCCTCTTAAAACAGCTTGCACACAAGGTACTCACAACTTTTAAAGTGTGCGCCTTTGAGATGGATATCTCACCCAACTTGATTGCCCATCATAGTTTTCTGATCACTTCCAAGTGTTACTTAGCAATTGGTTTGTGCATATGCAAATCCACATGAAGGACTTGCCCAACACATGCTCAACACATGGAGTTACGCTTGGGTAACTTTTCCTGTGCCTTTGTCTCTTGTACTCAAGGACACATGACTTTCCGGTTTCAGTGGAGAGTGAATGCATCAAGTTGAATTATTTATGCATTTGGGTGGAGTATATGTTTAAAAACAGATTCAGGGTCATATGTACTAATCTCTGTATTAGTAAAAGAACATCCAGGAAACATCCCAGGAAACATCCCAGGAAAAGGCGTAGGCAAGTAAATAAAGGAAAACACAGAAGTGCATCTATAGAGACTTCACGGGGCTTCATTTCAGGGCTCTCTTAGATTTGTGCTTGACACTGACTTTGGGCATTTTTGTCCATGTGGAATTCTGCTTTATGAGCTGTTTGCCAGTCATAACTTACACATACAAAGCTGATATACCACTCTGATGAACATTTGGTTTTGTCAGATATTTTTACAGTCTCCATGAAGGAATGCTGCAATTGCGAGTTATCAGAGATTTTTGAATGCAATTGTTTGACAACTTTTAAAATACCATGGTCTTATAACTTGCTAACATTTTTTTTTCTCTCTCAATAGGTATAAATGACCAAGGATTGTACAGAGTTGTGGGGGTGAGTTCAAAGGTCCAGAGACTTCTGAGTATGTTGATGGGTATGCCTCTTTAATCATTTTTCCATGCATTAATTGTTTATGCTCATTCACTTGGCAATGTAATATTTCAGAGTTATCTCTTGTATACTTATGAATACATTCTCCTATACCACTTAATTGGATGCATTGTGTCCTAGGCCGAGGCTGAGTGTTTGCGTCAGCTGGGGTCATCCATGTCCCTGTCACTTACTAAGCAATGAAGGCAGAAGAGTGTAGCTCATATGTAGGTGCCTCTCACCATTGCCTTTCACAGTAGAGTAGCCGTCAGGCCTCTGCGATCTATATGACTTCCACACTGACTGTCCGTGATCTTGACAGTATGTTTGGTTAAGCAAGGCCAAAGGGACTCATTGGCTGGGAGGCCCGTTTCTCGGGATTCCTTGTTTGCAGTCCCCAGCAGGCTCTTCTCCATCTGTGCTGATGACACAATGTTCCTGGCATCACACGCCGGAGGAAGCCAGAGTGAATTCATTTTGTTAACCCAGACAGTCTGTGACTGATAAAGCTCTTTTGCATTATATGTGGCTGTCAGTTCAGTGCAACCTGCAAGATACTTTTCCTGTCTCCCTTACCCCAGAGCAGGCTGCCCTTGAGGGTGATCATAGCTCATCAGTTTGGAGGGCCTGGCTACCAAACCAACCTGCCATCTTGGCCTTGCTACATAAGCATTTATTTGGTATTTTATTTTAATTAGTCAACACTAACAATGCCCTTAGGTATGCTCAGGAATTCATTTAAAGCTGTCTGTATTGAAAGCTCAGTTGTGAAAGTATAATACAAACTAAGATGAACAAAGCCAACCGGCACATTGTGGAGGGCACAGCTTGCCGGGCTTTCTGTGAAGCAGGGGTTTCATGAGCAGGCACTTTTCAAGCTATGAACCACAGGGAAATTGCCCACCATCACTTGGAGAGATTTGTTAGAATAGATTCGCTTTCACGGGCTGTTTCCACTTTTTGCCTCTCTGGTTTGACTTGGGTGTGCAGTTCTGGCCGATACAGTTTCCTTTTTGCTGTTAGTGGGCTCCAGGTTAAACAGTCAGGTTGCCAGTCGTCCAGTAGCAGCTGGAAGAATTTACTGGGCGCACAGCATCTGCTTTTACTTAATTTTAAAATTAGAAACACTAGCTTGGTGTTCCAGTGCTTAGGACTGGCCGATGATGTTGTTATCAGAATGCATTTAGGCCAGAGGGCACAGTTTGATGGTGAATTGCCAGAAGGATGCTGGTGTAACTTTGATGACTTTTTTGTTTGTGCTCAAGGAAACATTGAATGGGTCTATTTTTGTGGTCACCCCAAGTTAAGTTGTCTTGAAGTTTGTTCTTAGTCTCACAAACCCTATATTTACAGTATTGTAACTCTTAACGTTAGTTTCTCTGCTCTTGGAAAAATCTCAAGACAGCCTTTATCAGAGGTTATTTTAAAATTTTAAAGCCCTTAAAAATTCATGACCTGAGAGGTCTGCGAGATGGCCAGGAGGGTAAAGTGTGTGCTGCCCAAGTGAGAAGACCTGAGTTGAGTTCCGAATACCGACGTAGACGGTACGCGGGCTGCAGACACTTGGAACTCCAGTGCTGCCTTGCAGGAGAGACAGGAAGGTCCCAGGGGCTTTGCTGGGCAGTCTAGGCAAACAGTGAGCTCGAGCTTCCGTGACGAGACACTCAGTGTCAGCCTCTGACCCCCGTATGTGCATACGTGTCCATCTCCATGCACATGTCTAAGCATACTGATTTGTTTACCATTTTCTTCAGGTATTCTTTTCATTTTGATTAAATATTCAAAATTCAGTCATTTAATACCATTTTAAAAAGCATTTCAATAACTGTGTGTCCATATCCCGCACATGTTGCTTTATTTTTTTTTTTGCTTTACATTATGTTAAGGTTATATCCTAAAGGGAGAAAGACATGAGCCTGCCAAATGCTTAATTTCTTCTAAAAGCCAGTCAATCTTGAACATAATATGTTCATTTCAAATTTGAAAAATTTTCAGAGCATATTTTATTGGCAATGGATTTTTTTTTCATGAAAAATGAAAACTAATTGAATTTTTAAGCTTCCTGAAAGAAGTTCCAACCCATTTTATGTTTTTAGAAGAGGCCTGTGTTTACTTGATTGTCTAGTTCTTGAAACCTGTTTATATTTTTTTAAATAAAAATGATTGCCAGTTTTACATGAAATTTTATCATTTCAGTTTCAAATGTTTTAAATATTCTTCAAATACTGAGATACAAACGTTTGTGGTTCCCAAGGCTTGAATATGTTTTGTCTCTTGTATGTTATCCCCACCTGTTCCCTCCTCTGGTATTCTTCCCTTTCCTGGTTCAGATTAATAGATAAAACTATTTCTCCCCACCCCCCCCACCCCCGCTCCTTCCCCTTTCCCTACTACCCCTCCAACTTTTCCTTCCATCCTTGCCTCATGCTTTTTCCCCCTCCTCTTCTGCCTCCAGGAAGAAGAGACAGAAACTTTTCTGGACATTTTCCCCCTTCTCTAGGCCAGGTTCAGGAGGAGGCCGCCCTTCCTTTCTGGAATTTTTTTCTTAGCCCTCCTCCCCTAGGGATCAGCAGGTGGTGTCTGCTTACTCTCCTGCTCTCCCTGAGCCTTCCCTGGAGCCTGCTCAGTGATTCCTCTCCTGTGTGAAGCCACTCCCCTCCCTGTCCCGTTGCTGTTTGTCAGTCAGGGCACATAACCATCTGGGAGACGGTGTTTCTTCTTTTCTTTCTGTTTTTTAGTATTAGAAACTTGTGGCTGATGAGGAAGGCAAGGAAAAATGACAGGTGCATCTTGGAGAGTCAGTGCCAATTCTTAGTGAGGTGGTTGTGTAAAGATGACTCACAATAGTTAGAGCAGAGCTGGGCCATGCACATAATCTTCCTTCTCCCGTTAGAATGGAAGAACAAAGCCGGGGATTCTGGGAAAATGTGCTTATGCATATGTGATCTGGTGGACGTTGGCATTTGTCAGCCCAGTGTACACAGAACCATAGCAAACAAACATAACAGAATATATAATTTAAAATATTTTCTTGTTTTCTTTGTTGGGCAATTTTCTTACATAGATTGGGCAAAGTGAGCAATGCCGCTGGAAACATGATTTTTGGTGATAAAATGTATTTATAAAAACTGTACTTTTTGCTTTTTCAAGTATTCAAAAAACAAAAAGGGGAAATTGGCCCATGTCCATGTTGGTCTGTATAAGTGATGCTTTGCGGTGAGCATGGGGTGCATCCTTCCAGCTTCAAAGGAATGGCTAGTGCTTATGCAATAAGGAAACATTCATATAGTATCAGAGATTCCAGCTCTTTAAGTTTGTGCTTGTTAATTTAGGTTTTTAACTAATGAGTTAGGTTTACTTTGGTGAGGAAGGAAACACAAGTCCCCTTCACTTATGCTAGAACACACATTCAAAATAAAAACTCTAAACATATTTTAGGTGTGAATCCCAAGTAAATTAACAAATTCCACATAGCTCGCTGATTGCAAAGGCCTGCCAGGTACGATTGAGGTATTTGAAAACAGTGAACATTTAATAGATGATTAATTATATAGACATACAGTCATTAACTTCTGATATGACAGCTGTTTTTGTTCTGTGACTTTAGAAGGATGGCTTAGTTTTCCATGGAAAGGATATGAATCTCAAAATACAGGCTGATAATTTGGTAGAAAGTAGAAAATAAAAGAGTTCCTTTAGAAGCCCCTTGGATCTTAAAATGGTGATTTGCTTGTAGCAAGTTTATTAAAAATGTTATCTGACTTGTATGTTAAAATGAGATTTAAATAATTGATTTAATGAGAAACAGAATATTCAGTTACAGAAGTAATTGGTTGGCAAAGCTGTTAGGACAGAGTTATTTGGTCCTAGTTATAAAGGATTGCATCTTTAATCAGGGTGCTTAATTTGATTTCTCGAACATATCTGTGGCTTGTCTGACAGACTCAGTAACAAATGGGTTCTGGATCGCAGGCACTGATCAGAGTGTAATCGGTGTCAGCTGTCATTGCCGTAGTGTATTGCATATTGCTGTCAGTGGCTGTAATCAAGACATGCTGGAGTGCCTAAAAAGTCTCCAGACCTTTGAGTAATTGGCTTCGTATGTGTGATGTTGTGGCTGCAAAGTAGCCATCACTTCCTGTTTTACTTTCTGAAAGTTTGAGTCCAACATGAGCAGTCATCCTTCTGTTGCATCCTGCCCATGCCCGCAGCTTTGCAGGCAGCATGCTCAGCTAGTGTGGTGGTCCCACCCTGACAGCCTTTCCTTTTAGTGCTTTAAAAAGGAACCACCAACAAGGTACTTTTTCCGGCAGAGGCAAATGTAGTGTAAGGCAGGAGGAAATCTAGAGATGACCAGTTCTTTGTTTTAGTTGACACCTCATTCTGGAATGTGGGAGACAGAGTCTTCCAGAAGTTGCTGTCTTCGGACTTTAGGAGTTTGGGAAACCAGGTAGATTTCTAGTGGTGGTTTCACACCTTCCTTAGATCCTGCTTTCTGCCTCCTTCCTTTTGGGAGAGTATCACCATGGGATGCCCTTGCTTTTAATGACTTGGCTGCAGCACTGATCTGCCACTTCTAATAATTCATGTAGCTTTGCCCGTGTCCTTGGTGTGTTTACATGCTCACCCTAGTTTATTGGAAGGGTTACTGTGCTCAGATCTCCTTGGTGTAGATGAGGATCTGAAACTCAGTTAGATTTGGGACTCCTTGCTTGAGATGGCTTAATGTTTCAGACTGGTGGAGCATTAAAGCTCAGCCGTGGAAGGCCCAGGCTGCCAACTGTGCTGGGAATGCTGGCCCAGGTGGGCAAGAATGGCCCTGTCCTCAGAATGTTTGCCTTTCCCGTTGTCCTGTCATTTTATTTTAACCTGGATTAAATACTGCAAACTTCTCCTCCCTTCCCCCTCCCCTCTCTCCCTCCCTCCTTCCCTCCCTTCCTCTTTCCTTCCCTCCTTCCTTTCCTCCCTCCCTCCTACTTCCTTTCTGTACTTGCACAGTTTTTCTTTAGAACACTAGTTTTTTCTAAAACAGAGCATTTGGAAATAAAATATCAGCAACACACTTTTAGGACAAATAAAGCTAGTTTAATTGATAGCGAATGCTGAGTGCTACCAAGGCAGCTAGTGTTCCTGATGGGTAAATGGATTGCAGTGCTGGAATGAGGGGTTACTGACAGACATCCTTTTTGCTTAAGGATTTAAGTGAAATCTTAAGTGATTTTGTTTTTACTTTATATCTTCATTGCAAATAATTTTTTAAACTAATACAAAGAAATAAAAATTATATGTTAATGTACTAACATGGTATATTGACATTTACATTTGAGCCTCTGTGTGTTTCCATTTGGGTTGATCATATGTTGGCGGAATACAAATACTGGAATGTGAGACCAGACCGCTCCATCGCCCACTGACATTCTGCAGTTTTAATTGTCATTTTACCTTCATGGAGACAGTGTTTCTTCTGTGAGAGCACAGGGAATTGTATCAGTGCCATCAGAGACAAACCTTACCCATTCTGCTGATGGCCCCCATGCTCCAGGCTGTCACCGTCCACACTCCCTGAGCTGGCTTGTTAGACTGCCATGCCTTGTTTCATTCATCTGCACCTGTGGTCTATATTTTAGATCCCTTTGCTTTGATCTCTCCTGTAGACTTCTAAAGTTGTAGAAATGTCTGGTACTGTGAGGTAGCTTATGCTATTATTGCATAGAATACTTTTCCTGAGAAACTCCAGGATTAATTATCCGTTGTTTTAGCCACTTAAAGTGGGAATTCTTGTGAGCTAGTCGGAACTTTGGATGGGCAGATTTTTAACTAATTTTTCACTTTTGCTTGTTCACCAGATGAAAAAACATGTAATGAGCTGGATCTGGAGAGTTCCGTAGACTGGGAAGTGAAGACGGTCACCAGTGCCTTGAAACAGTATCTGAGGTGAGCCCTGGCCCTTGCTCCACGGGAGCAGCTGTGATTATTGTCACTCACAAGGAGAAAGTCTGTGAGATACACGATGACATCCCAGGAGACAAAGCCATCAGGAGTGATGAGCATTCTCTGCTGCTGTGCAGAGACACCATGGCAGTTTCAGAGAGTTGGTCCACAATCATCATGGTGGGAAGCATGGGTGGCAGGCAGGCAGGAAGGCAGGCCAGGCCCTGAAACAGTCACTGAGAGCTCATAGCTAATCCATAAGTTGCAGAGACAGACAGACAGACAGACAGACACACAGGGAGGGTGGGAACTGGGCCTGACATAATTTTTGACTCCTCAGAGCCCTTCCATCCCCAGTGACACACTTTCTCCAGCAAAGCCACACCTCCTAATCCTTCCCAAACAGTTCCATTCACTGGGGACCAAGTGTTCAAATATATGAGCCTGTGGGGTCATTCTCATTCAAACCACTGCAAACATCATTGTCAAGTAAACTGCAGCAGAGGAGCTTGGATCCTGGGATACTTGGAGAACAGTTCTATTATATACATGTAGCAACAGGGAATCTTTTATTTATGTTTTAAGTTAAAATGAAGACTTTGCTTTAATTTAACTATCTTGAATAGACCAGTATGTGATTGGACATAAAAGTATTTTAAAAGTCTACTTGTTGAGGTTTTTAAGAATATTTAAGATCTTTTATTATAAAGAATAACATAGGGCTGGAATCAGAGAAGCATTCCGTGCTTTGCTGTTGTTTTGTTGTGAGTAAAGGAGCTTAGTGATTGCAAAGCTGGGGTTTACTGACAGCAACAACAGGGAGCTACAGTTCCGACTGGGATTCTATGCCCTGGCTCTTTGAGGTTTGATGTTTCTGCAGCAGAAAGGGTGAGAGATGTCTGTGTTTGCCCAGTGCAGGGTACATGTAGGGTGCTGATACAGCCTGGTGTTCATGTAGCATTACATCGGCTTCCATGAGCACACGAGAATCTAATTTGTAAGTTTTAAAGTGGGGTATGTCAGATTAGGAGATCCAGCGAGGGTGTCTAATGAGCCCTCATGACTGGCCGTGTGCTCCAGGCCATGCTGCTTTCTTCCTGTTCTCTCAGTCAGCTTCCTGCCATTGCCTGTTTGGCCTCCTCCAAGTCTTATTAAAATCTGGCATAGGGTTCAGGGATTCATTATCAGCTTTTGAGTCTTTCATATAAAGCAAGTTTTCCTTTTTAAATGTGTTGTGTGCATCATTGTTAGTCTTGGTTGTTGCAGGAGCAAACAGTAAAGCTGAGCATCCACCCTTAGTATCTGATTGCATCCACCATGACTGTGCGTTAGATGTGGATCGTAGTGAATGAGCCCTGCTGTGCGGGTGGCTGTGTGTTCCCTGGAGACGTGGGTATTTCGTGTCTGCTGTTCACTGTGGTGTCCCGTCATGTCCCTGAAGCATTCGAGCTGTGTTCTCACCTAGGGGTAGTTGGCCATCTAGAGGATTTTTGATGATATATGTATACTTTCTTGCGGTTTATTTATTTTTATTTTATGCGTATGAATGTTTTACCTGCATGTATGCCTGTGTACCATGTATGTGCAGTGTCTACAGAGGCCAGATGAGGGCATCAGATCCCTTTGGAACTGGAGTTACAAAGGATTCTTAGCTGTTCACGTGGGCTCTGGAAACTGAACCTGGGTCTTCTGAAAAAGCAGTCAGTAAACTTAACTGCTAAGCTGTCTCTGGAGCCCTGGCACCCCTCTCCCCCCGTTGTCACAGTTACTGGAGAGAGTATCACTGACATCTGGTAGGTGGAGGTTAGAAATGAGCTGCAGTTATAGACCACTCTTCCGCTCCTTTCTCTAGAGAATTGTTGGATCCAGAATGGCAGCAGTGCTGAGGTTGAGAAAACCTATGTTAGATGAGCTAAGGAAAGAATGGATGGGATAAAAATAGGATGGATTGTGTATGCTCCATTCTGGCAGCCTTGGATCCATTTACTGTTTGATATATTATGCCTAGTGCAGAAGAAGAAATTGACCAAAATGACAGTTATCAATGGAAAGCTTGAGAAACAACATTGAATTCTTGGTAGTAAATTCTGCTTTCTGCTTCTTGTTCTATGGGGTCCCTTTCTTTTCCCTTGGTCTTACGCACATGCACACTTAACTTTCGGATCTTGATCCTCTCTGGAGCTAGTTCCTTCTGACTGCTGATTTTGTGTTGCGTTCTTTTCCGTTTTCTCAGTACATTGCTGTATTCCGTTGAATTCCACTTCAAATTAGGCATTGCATACAGAAAATATTCTGATACGCTGTTATTAGACAACTTAGTCCTAAATCTACTGAATCTAAGCTTTCTGCCTGTGTTAGTGATTATCCCAGGACAGCAGAAGCTTTGGGAGATGTACAAGGCTGCCATCTTTCCTCCTGTGCTGTGCTCAGCAACTGCAGGTGCATTAGAATTTAGTGTTTTGTTGTTGTTGTTGTTCTTGTTTTAAGTTGGAGAAAACCTGATTTTTTTTTTTTTAACCTTCATATTCCTTCAGAGTTGTGGGCAGAACAATTATGTTTCTTTTGACCATTGCTCTTTGATGGGGTGGAGGATGTGAGGTTGGCCCAGCCAACACCAGGGCCGGTGTTGAAATCCCAGCCCTGTCACATATAGCACAGGGACATAGTGTGGAACTTTAGTGTTCTTTTTCTTCTTAACCATTTGCCTTTGAATACTCGCTGCAAATTGCCTGCCACAATGTCGCTGCTCAGTTGGAGACAGAGGAAGGGTCCTGCCAAAGCACCAGGTAGAATCAGAAAGCAGGGGTAGCCTGGCTGGGTCCTGGAAAAGGAAAACAGTCATAGTGAACCTACCCATGGCCCCTCTTTTGTCTTCTGCTGACCTGGGGCAGTATTGTACTTCTCTGTGTGCGAGGCCTGAGTCCCAGCCCCCCACGTGATGGCTGTGGTTTTGATGGCCACTGATGTGTTCATTGCCACGGTTTCCCATTGTTAAGCAAAAAAAATGAGCTGTTTGTGGTGTTTCTAGCCAAGGGAATCTTACCTGGAGGAAACCTCTTTTAAGTGTGGAAATCGGAGTTTTTAAGGAAGGAAACACCAGCTTGAGTAAATATTATGATTTATGTCCTCCAACAGATCCCAGCGGGGGGTGAGAGGGATGGCTGGGATACACGTCTGGTGGGAGGCTGAGCGGTGCAGTGAGTCAGGCGAATAAATCTGGGTGAGACTTGTCATTCCTATTACTGCTTCCCTAACATTAGTGATATTTATTTTTTATGTGGTATTGCCAGCTAGACATATGGCAGTGATATAAGTATCTGGTAGAAGATACTTAGACACAAATTCAGTCTTCCTGGAGGAGAAATGCTCTCCACGGTGTTGCTAAGTGTTCTTCTTTCCTTTTGACCCAGCACTGGAACTTTCCTTCTGTGCAAATGGGTAACCTTTCGTTTCCCTTAAGACTTTCTGCTTGTCTGTACTTTGAAATGAGACCCTGAGAATTGACCTCTCAATGCCCATCTTTCTCCTGGCTGAGGCTGCAATGTCACAGGGAATGTTTCTCTTTAATTAGTAAGGGAAGGAGGGTGGAGAGAGCGCCGAAGCAATTAGTTCTCCCAATCTTCGGTTGCCCTTGTTGGCAAGTGCCGCTTTGTGTGTCTGGACACACTGAAAAATATGTCCTCAAACATTTCTTATGTAGCTTTGATTTTTGAATAGCTTCTCTTGGTGAATCTCATGTGTATTTTATTCTAAGTTGAAACACTCAGATGTATGTACCTTTCACATTTTTTTTAAAGAATAGCTATTTGGAGTGAGCTGCACATATTTATAGTATATGTTCTCATAAACTTGGTGTCTGCATCCACCTGAGGGCCATCACCATAACCAGGGAGCTGAGCCTGTCCACCGCCCGTTTAAGCTTTTCTTCCGTTCTTCTTTGCCTTCCTCCCTCTTCGTGGCCTCATCAGTGGGAGCATTTACCTGCTTTCTGTCTTTATGTGTTAATTTACATGATTATGATCTTTATAAGTGCAGGTTTTCAGTCTGTACTTCAGAGATGTCAGCTTCACTTACTAGAATCATTGTTGTGGCGTGCTGAAACCCACTGATGTACTGCTGTGCATTTGGGTGGTCTCTAGCTCTTGGCGATTATGTGTAACGGTGCTTAAATATCTGTAGAAATCTTTGTGGAGACAAGATTTTCATTTCTTTTGGATGAATCCTAGTGGGCAAGCACCTGGACCATGTGGGAGACTTGTGCTTAGCTCTCCTGGACACGGGCTGGCTTTTCCAGTGCTGAATACGGTTGACTTTTCTACTGCAGTCGTTCCAATAAGTGTGTGTTGGCACCTCATTGTTCTTTTAGTGTGAACTTCCTCAGTGCCCAGAATTTTCTTGATGCGTGAACTTATTGACCATCTGTGAATATCCTTAGTTGAAGCATGGCCTTGGCTATCACTCCCCTCGTTTTTGAGATAGGGTATTCCATTGAACTTGGCGCTGATTGATTGGTCGGTCGGTAAGCCCCAGACAGGTCCTCATGCCCCTGCCTCCTCAGAACTGGCTGATGCGTTTGTAGCACCACACTCCGCTTTGATGAGGCTGCTGGGATCCAAGCTTGGGACCCCGTGCTTGTGTCACAGGCACTTTCCGTACCGTCTCCTCAGCTCCTCTGCTTTTATTGAAGCCAAAGAATGAGCTGCATATGACTTAAATTTTTTTTAATAAATTTTAAAAGATAAAGATGTGTTTCATAGCCAAGAATACAGTTTCTCTTACAGAGCAAGTTGCCCATGTGCTCAGGTCTTTGTATAATGCTTTTAGGTAGACCTATATTTCATTAAAGGACCTGACTTAGGTGAAGGGGTGGGTAATTTTATTCAAACTTTCTGTGTCCTAACTAATTTTCTTTCTCCTGCTTCTGATTCACATCTCTGCCCACTGCGAATCCAGCTGTGGGTTTGCCTTCTCCATGTACTTTTGTCAGATTTTGCTCATGTGTTTCAAGTTCTGTTGCTTGATCTGTGAGCGAAAGCTTGTTCTGTTCTCAGTGAAGTCCACCCTTTGTCTACATGGAACGGCCTTCCTTGTCTCTGCACTGTTTGTAGCTTTTGCACAAATGTTTAAGTGTGTGAGTACACATGCGCATGTGTATACTGTAATGTACGTGTGTATTTGATTGTGTTTTTAAACAATCAGGGCAATTCTGAGTCCCAAGTTTATGGCCCTGTGGCCTCCAGAGTAGAGTTCTGCAGCCTGACATTTGTTCTCTGGGGGTGATGTAATTAACAAGCCTGGCCTGGCACAGTTTCAGGTATTGGCAGGATTGACAGAAGTTCAGCATTGTGTTACTCACAGGATAAAATATGCTACTATTTGCATAATGCAGTTTGCAGAAAAACTAGGTGCTGTATTTATTTTTACATTGTTACCAATTTGATTTTATCTCACTGTTTCATAGCCATAGATTATAAAGCCATCAATTTTCTTTTTAAATGTTTCTTCTGTATCAGTGGTTCTCAGCCTCCTAAAGCTGTGACCTTTTCATACAGTTTCTCTTGTGGTGACTCCCAACCTTAAACTTTTTGTTGCACTTCATAGGTCTAACTTTGCTACTGTAATGAATCATAATGTATATGTCTGATATGCAGGATGTTTGCTGTGTGACCGCAAAAGGGTCACGACCCACAGTTGAGAACAAGTGCTCTATATGTATTTAGGCATAAAAATGAAAACCAGTTATTTTAACAGAAATATCAGAGGAGAGGATTTGTTTTTAAAATTCTTTAACATTTTCTGTGTATTACTTTGATATTAATGTTTTAAAGATGTTTTCAAAACTCTGCTTATATATGGTTATATAAAATACTTACATTAAAATGTTAGTGTATGAAACTTTTATGTGCAAATAGATGTTCATAAAGACACTTTCCAAGATTAGATATGAAGCGTTGACCTGATAAGAACTTGTTATTGGTTGAGAGTTGGCAGCGTTCAGGACAATCACCAATTTGTGTTGTGGTTTCCTTATCTTTTGGGATTTAAAGCTTAACTCAGACGTGCACAAGCAGTGTAATGCAATGTTACAAGTAACTCAGAGATGCCTGTTTGGATTATTTGGTAATTGAACTGTTTCCTCCCCCACCCCAGGAGTCTTCCAGAACCTCTTATGACCTATGAGTTACACAGAGACTTCATTGTTCCAGCCAGTAAGTATTATGTGGATATACAAAGACTCAGATTTGTGGTTGATGGTGTGCACACATTAACAATTTCCACATGAAAATTTAACTTAGTAGTGTTACCATCTGTGTTAAAAGGAGAGACACTTTAGGAGGTGGCTGTTTCTCCTTCTTTTAGGAAGTCAGCAAGGGCTGGGGCGATGACTCAGCTGTTAAGAGCACTGACTGCTCTTACAGAGGATTTAGGTTCAATCCCCAGTACCCACATGATAGCTCACAACTGTCAGTAATTCCAGCTCCGGGGGACCCGACACTTATGGCAAATACCAATGCACATAAAATAAAAATAAATTTAAAAAAAGAAAGTGAGCAAAAAGATTTGGTAGCGGATCACGCATGGACATTAACAGTTACCCATTCTTTCTTTGCCTTTGGCAGAAACTAAATGTGTAAGGCCACAGCAGGTTCTTGACCCCATGGCCAGTTCTGTCTTCATTACACTATGGATACCTGATATTGGCATGAACAGAATACTATAGAACAGGCCGATCAATATTCAGCTTTTAGAAGGTTGAATAGATAATGGATTTGGAGACGTTATAATCTGGAGATTGTTTCACTTATAAAGACATTTATATAGACAACACAGACAGAAGGATTATTATGAGATAATGCCAGAAGCACAAACTATTTGATAATGAATTATATAGGATACATGTTGAGTGAAAAAGGCCACGAGCTGGTGAATTTTAATGTGAGGTTAGGTACTTTTTGACTCCTGTACCCATGAGTGTTTGTCCGTGCCCATTCTGTGTAGCTGCGGTATAACAAGAGCGTGTGCCTGGTGCAGACAGAACTGGCTGTGTTTTTGCCGTACAACTCTGTTTTTATCCTCAGTATGTGATGCTTAATCATTCTTCTGAAGGTTACTGCTGTTAGCTGATTCAGAGTTAAGGAAATTGAGATCGAGGCTTACATATAAAGTAACTTGATAGATTGTAGAGACCATTACTTAAAACTTACCTCCACTGGCAGGACTCTGCAGTATTGGTTTTCATAGGCTCATTGACAGTAGCTGAAATTGTAGCCCCCTCTCCACTCCCTGGATATATATTTTACTTTAATCTGTTGGAAAATTTACAGCAATCCCCTTGGGTCCTATGCCACTGCTGCCTGAACATGGCCTTTAATGTTACCTTCTTGTGAGGTCACAGCTCCAGACTGTGTGAGATTCCTAATTTGTTGCAGAAAGAATCTCTGTGTTGACTGTATTAAACTGCACATAGAAAGCTTTTGGGAAGGACCAGAATACAGTTGTGTTGAGAATTATTTCAAAAAATAGGATTTGTCTAATCAAGGAAGTGGGGGAAGGTTTTCTTGGCAAAAACACAAGCAAATGCTTAGTTGTTTTGATTTCTTCCCTGTGCCTTTTTTGGCAAACAAGAAAGAAATTAAATTTAGCTAGATGAAAGTTTCAGGTTGTTGATCATATAGCCTGGAAAAGCTGAGGAGTGTCAGCCTGCATCTCTGAGTTTTTGCATTCTAGAGAAAGAGTGATTATGGAATGAGGTTTTACATTACACTGGTTAGTGTTGCGAGAATTATTACCACGTGTGACTAACAGTGGAGTGTTCAGAATCCTAATGCCAAATGTCTTTTATCAGGTGAGGAAGTGCCTACCCATTTGGAGGTAACGAGGCCCGAGATGGTGGAGTTTGCTGGTCTATTAAACTGTGTGTTGCAAACAATCAAGTAGATGCAGTAGGTTCTGTCACCTGCTGGGTCAGTACCCAGTGTTTAGTTTCCTGCCCTTGTGGTCTTGCTATCATAGTTCTCGTTTGTATAACAGGACTGTTATAAAGGAATACCGTAGCCCCTGTAGCTGGCATGGATTCGTACCTCTGTGCAGTTGCAATCGAAAGGGACCCACACTAGATGCTAAATGGGTTTACTGAGGGTCAGTGTGTTTGGGGCAGAGTTCGACTTCTCCTTTCCCCCTTGTGAGTACCTACCCTCTCCTCTAGTACTCAGTGCCTGGGAAAGGGCGTAGGAGCAGATCCTCTTGCATATTGCATACGTGCTCGTAAGAATTGCGTGCAGTTACAGAAAGCAGATGGCCCAAATTCCTCTCCTCCGTTTGAATACTGGTGAGTTGGGATTGTGGTTAAACTCATTTTCCCTTGAAAGTGGTGCAGCTTACCTTGTTTTGCTACAAGTCTGCGAGCTCAACTGGCGATTAAAATGACCCCACACAGCCAGCCTTTGTGGTTGCCTGTCATGCCAGCATGGGAACCAACTTTGGTTCTCTCCCACTGTGTGGCGGTTTCTGTGTGTTCTGGATGCTGAGAACACGCTCTCGTCTTCGCTAAAGGGGCTGCAGTCTTCTCTGGCCCCTTCTTTTCCTTTCATCGTTTTATTTCCTATCATTTTCTGTTGAGAATGTGAGCTTCTCAAGTTGATAACACAAAGATAAGAATTTTGTTTGTGTTCTCGCTACGAAGTGTGTATCTCTTTGTTTCTTATTGTAAAAGAAAAGCTCAACTGTTCTGTACTGAATGCATTGGAAACATTTTTCAATTTCAGAAATTTGAAAGCCTTAACTGTTAACTGCATTTGTTAGGCTTACTGAAAGACCCAGAAGCACCTATCTATGAGATACTGTACTCTACTGTGGGGCTAGAAATCCATAAGCTACAAGTGCCTTGAATTGGTCTATGCAAGAATTGAAAGAATTGTGTCTACTGTGCAAAGCTGGTAGCATCTACCTGAAAGCCTTCCCCTGTGAAGCCTATTGCCCTTGAGAATGATGGAGTCTGTGTTCTGTAGTCAGTGGTGAGCGTGGACCGTCCTGCTGGGTTGGACTCACACTGGACTTAACATGAGCTAGATAACTTCGTCCTGCGTACCGGTCTGGTGTTGTGTCCTTGAAACCAACTTCCAACTGTTGCTCAAACTAGAATACTTGTATTTCTGTGTTTGTATTTGCTTTTTATAGCTAGGCTACTTGTGTAGCACACAGAATAACCAAAGCCATTTCTAATGAGAGACAATATAGAATCCAGTACATGGTATTTGCATAACCAGAGCATTCCATTCGATTCTTGCTGGGAAGCGCACACGAGGAACAATGTGGACATGTGGGTATTACAGGGACTGAGTTTGTATTGTCTCCTGCTTCGCTTAGCTGGATGTGTTCACTTCACAATAGGTGAGAACCACAGGAAGACTGGCTGAAGCTGGTATGTCTCCTAGGAGCTACTTGGAAGGTTACTGCTTGTAACTTCCCTACATTATGATATTATTGGCACATGTCATTTACATGTTAAAAGAATTGAATGGTCTGCCTATGTGTTTTGGTAACTCTCAGCAGCTTGCTCATATCTATGGCCTCATCTGCAGCCGTGGTTGTTATGACATCATAAGCAAATAGACATTGAAGTGTGGTAGATGCTGATGTGTGATTTCCCAGTTCTGATTTTTTTTTCTGTCACAGCAAACTCTTAAGTCTCTGGCACATTATAGGAATTTAGTGTACAATTAATTAAGTGCCCTAAATAAAAACGATAGGCTTTTTATTCTTTGTCAGCTAATGCCAATGAAAATATGGCAAAATGCAGATAGCATAAGTAATAGAAAATAATGTATTTTAGCAAGATTTTTGGGGTGGGTAGGACTATATTATCTTGTGGAAATGCCTATTAGTAGAAAGATTTAATGTCAAAACAAAACAGTGTAAACTGAAGAGCTCAAAATGCAGGTACAGGAGAAGTGTGTGTGTGTGTGTGTGTGTGTGTCTCAGAGAGAGAGAGAGAGAGAGAGAGAGAGAGAGAACTGATGAATTATAGTAGCTCCTGGAAAGAGGGACTTGAGACATGAAGTGGAAGGTTCTACTCTTTTCTCAGACAGATTGTTAGAAAGGAGGAACACATTAGTGGAGGGTGGGGATCATCTCCTTAGCTCACATTTCCAAGTGATGATTCCTGAAGTATCACACTAGGTTTTCATTGTAGAGTCGGGGAGGCTCCTGAGCTAACTGTCTTTCATTCCAGCGCCTTTAAGGTTCTAAAGTCCCAATGACAAAATTGCTATCCTTGATAGTGATTCTTATTCCTGTGCACATATGACTGCTTTTATTTTGTTATTTAAAAATCAAGACAATGATTTGAAATTATGTTCTTATTAATAACTTCCAACATCAGACAGTCATCTTAATTAACATCTATAGACTTTTATATAGAACCTCTTATTAAACATTTCTTTTGCTTCTGATATTTTGGTATTTGGGGCCTCCTGTGTTCTGCCCAGCTAGCTGGTCACTAGTTACAGACTCTGGTCCGCTCTTTGTGTGCTTATGGGCAATCTGAAGCCACGTGTTGTCAGCTGCTGGCGTTCTCGCCGCAGGTAGTCACCCAGGGACAGCCCTGAGAAGCAGGTGACCAATGGTAGGCCTTGCTCTTCCTCTCCGGACCCTTCCAGCATGGTCCACTGTAGGGATCCCGTTGTACCCTGAGTCACTGTAGCACGTGCTTGCAGGGTCCTACATGGCTGTGAGCCTTGAATCTCACACGTCATCTCACATCCTCGAAATAAACCAGGAGTTCAGTGTGGAGTGTCCCTTTCTGAGCTATCTAAGGGATGTAAGTTAGGCACGTATATTGGGGAGAGTCACTTGAGCCTGGAGCCAAGAAGATCCTGGTGCTGCTGTTGGACTTGTGTTTGTCACGTGAACTGGGCGAACTAGAAGGGATGCTGGCAAGGGAGAGGCTGCTGGAGCAGCGATGCCCTCAGCACCGGCCCGGGAAAGGCCAAGAATGTTTAAGTGCCTTCTCTTTTCCGATCCTGAACAGACAAACTGTTATGATTTCTAGTTAAGGGTAATATTTTTGATTCTAAGTACTCTATTAACTCCTTTTCCTTTCCTTTCCTTTTTTTTAAAAAAGAGAGTGGCAGCCCGGAGGCCCGTGTTAACGCCATCCATTTCCTGGTACACAAACTGCCAGAGAAAAACAAGGAGATGTTGGATATCTTGGTGAAACACCTAACCAAGTGAGTGTTCTTCCCTCTGCCTGCTGAGGCTGGGTAATAGCTGACACTGCTGCCGACAGCTAGAGAAAGGAGAGGGTATTATATATTGCCCCATCCCAGACTATGAAAGTATGATTATAAATCTGTTAGCAGATTGAGCTTGGTTCCACACACACCCAGTGCTGTGGTTGGGCATGTCCTTTAAAAACTCCAGTCTAGTCGTGGGTCTGGTCCATCCACGTTTCCTATCTAAAAAGCAGAATGTATTAACTCAGTGGAGAAATTAACCTTTTTAAGTAAAAACGAATCCCAGATCCCTCTGTCTATAAAATTTGAGTGAGAAGCAGTGTTTGGAACTGTGGTTTCAGCAGCCACAGTAGGACACAATACATGATGGCCCTGCTCTGTGATGTATGGAGTAGAGAGAATGCTGAAATGGTTTCAGCTCAGCGCAAAAGAGCAAGGTGTGCAAGACCGCGGAGAATGTGCGTCAAGCTGTAAGCTGTCAATCATGCTGGACGGTCTCTGGTGGGTCGGCGTCCTGAATCCAGTTGCCCTGAGCTGCAGGACTAGGAGGAGTGGGTGGCGTTGCTGTGATGGAGACGCTGGTCGTTAGGGAAAGGGGGCGTGTCCTGAGCCGCTGTTTTTCTGTGTCCAGCTAATACACGATAAATGTGGATTTTGTGGAGTAAGACATGCTTGTTGAAATGACTAGTAATATGACTTACTCTTGTGAAACAAAATACAATTAATTTAGGAAATTCTATTTTTATTTTCAATCAGCGGCTCAAGACAACTGCACAATTCTTTATATCTACATAAATCCACTTACCTGTCTAATATTGAGCATGTGCATGTAAGCAATGATAACGGACCTGTTGAAAGACTGACTGCTTAGAAATGAGCTAGCTATCATGAGGACTGTCAGTGGGAACAGCTTCATAAAACTCCTTCACCTGGGCAAGGTCCTCAGCCATGTTAGCTGTCTTTCCATGCCTGTGACACACCCCCAGAAGAACTGAGGGGAGAAGAGCCTTGTCCTGCCTCGCTCACTGTCTGAGCAACTGCTGCCCTAGGTCAGCTGACTCTGTTGCTTTGGACAGGAAGTGAGTCAGAATAACAGGATGGAAGGAGACTGGAGCAGAGGAGACTGGTTATTATGGGGTGTGGGGGGAAGGTGGGTAGATGGGGAGAGAACGGAGAGCCTATGTGTGCCGCTGCTCTTTGGTCCAGCTGTCACAGGCAGACACCGAGGGCAACTAGAGTTAAGGAAATGCAGAGTTACAGGATATTGAGTGCTCTGTCTTGATCACTATCAAATGATTCTTTTCCTTCTTCTTCAATATTAGTGTGTCAAATCACTCGAAGCAGAATCTAATGACCGTGGCAAACTTAGGAGTGGTGTTTGGACCAACTCTGATGAGACCGCAGGAAGAAACTGTTGCCGCCATCATGGATCTGAAGTTTCAGAATATTGTTGTAGAAATCTTAATTGAAAACCATGAGAAGGTAGCGTTCTTTTCTTCTTTACTAGTAGTTATGAGTTTGGCTTGTTAGTGTGTGCATGGCCTTGTTATTAGTCTGTGTTTCTGTTTCATCATGGCTGTGAATTTATTCCTAAGAAGGTAACATCCTGCTCTGTCTTCTGGTGGAGTTCCGTGAACTTGATCTTTACCGGCCTCCTCTTACCTCATTGTTTTATTGAAGAAACATTGCAGCCAGATGCAGATTAATAGGCAGTGCCAATGTGATTGTGGATGTTTAGGCTTTAAAAAAAATTACATTTCTGTCCTTGGGTTGCTCCAATTTTATGTGTTAGTCACACTCTATGCTTTTAGTCAAGTGAAGTCTTTTTAACTTAGAGAAAAAGCAAATGGAAGTGAGATGGAGCTGGAGATGGTTTGAGGTGGACCCTTTTCTGCCATTGTGACAGAGTACCACAGTCAGCTCACAAGGAGAGGGCCTTATCTTGGCTCACGGTTTCAGAGCTTCCTAGGAAGCATGGTCGTGTGGCCTTGCTGTTTGGGGCCTGTGGAAGCGTGGTAAATCCTGCAGTACTGTGTGGAAGAGGATGCTGCTTTCCCATTGGAACCATGAACTGAGAGAGACAGGAAGGGAAAAGGAATGAGGGGGGAAGAGAGGAAAGCAAACTTCTCTCTTATGAGAAGTACTTGAGAATTTCCCTCTCGTGAGCCAGCATTGCTCACCAAGAAGGATGCGTTGCTTTTGCCTCTGATTAGAGCTTCAGATTTTCAGTCTAGAGCATGGGGGAAGATTCCCTTCAGGTTCTGGAGTATTTGGTACCAAAGTTCAGTCCTGAGTGTGATTGTGGCTGGTGTGTAGTCTGCCCCATGACAGTGTGTGTTACGATGCAGCTGACTTCTTTTGGAGGCCATTCAGTGCGGGTATGTGTGGGCACGTACGTGCGAGCATGCGTGCACATGCGTGCTCACCCCTGCACTGTGTTAGAGAGTGGTTTTGGATGCTCAGTTGTGTGTGTGCGTGCACATGCACCCCGCACTGTGTGAGAGAGTGGCTTTGGGTGCTCAGTTGTGTATGTGTGTGTACACACTCACCCTGCACTGTGTGAGAGAGTGGCTTTGGGTGCCCAGTGACACTTTCTTCTTCATCTCCACCCTCAAAACTAAGTTCCTTCCTGTTCAGAAAAACAAAGATAGGCACTCAGGGCTGAAGAAGGCACACTTTTACCCTTGACAAAACATACACAGTTTAACAGAAAAGCACTTTTTTCGGGGGTTGCCTAGCAAAGCTCTTAGCTTTTTTGGACCTCTCCTAATTTGAAGTATATAGTTCTACCCCTCTTCTTGTCCTAAAACTTTCAGCTTGTTACCTGCACTGCCAAATCTGTGGGTGCACTGGGTGAAGAATTTCTGGTTTAGTTAGAGTCAGCTCTTAGATGGCTGTCATCTTGTTCAATACTCTGTGACCCAGGCAAGACTTGACCTTAGAGTCTTTTAAGAACTTGTAGAGGGTCTCCCATTCTGCCAACTGTAGCTCATAACTCTAGCTAATAACTCTCCTCTGACTGCCTCTGAGATAGAGGATGTGAAGGCCATAGAAACACTAGGACTCACATTTGTGTGCTAAAAAGAGGGTTTTTCTCTTTTTTAAATTAAGATCGTATCGTGTGCCAAGCCTGTTCCAGGTACTGGAGTGTAGAGATGAAACCGGCAGGCCTGGTTGGAGAGTCGACGAGAACCATATTAGGTACTTAATCCTGTAACTTGTATCTCAGTCTAATGTGCTTTGAAGCTGTTTTTCTTTGGTAGTGTCTGTTGTTTCTGCTGGACTGCTGAGGACAATGGTACTTGTATATCTGCCACCCATTAGAGACACAGGGAATGGCAACTGAATGAAGCAATGCATCCAGTACACCCTGAGGGAATGAGGCAGCAGGCGGAGACAGAGCCCCTTTGGATCAACTGTGAGGACAGCTCTTCTTGGGTCCCTGAGTTCCTGTTTGTTGGAGTAGTTTTGGTGCGTGCAAGCGTAGGTTTATTCTGACAGGATAAACTCAGTCCCTGATCTGTCACTTCTGTGGTAAGGGCAGTTTGTTTGGGTGGAGAAGTCTTCCTGTTCTGGTAGCTGCTGGTGAATTTATGCCATCGTTTCTGACCCGGTCACACTGTTGTGAAGCCTTCTTGGCACTGAGTCACTGGGAAGGTAGCTACTGTTCATTTTTAGAAAAACGTATCATTAGGGTACCACCTTTGGAAAGTCACTGCAGCCCAGCTGCCGTTCTATTAAATCTTAATTAGAGGCCGGTGGTGCAGTAGTTCATCTCTGAGACTGGGAAGGTGGACTGCCAGCCCCCTGCTGGGAAATGTGATGCCATGTTTCTGCAGGGACATGGTGACGGCCTTCCACGTTGTTAGATCTTGTGATAATTTCTGAGTACCCTGGTGAGCCAGTCCTCGTGTCCAGGCAGAAGAGGGCATCCATGCGCTCATCTTACAGCTAAGCATAGGTTTGTGGTTTCTCTCTGACCTCTCCATAAATGAAACTGCTGAGATTTCCTCTTTTTTAAAAAATATGTTTTTAATTGAAACAGAATTACATCACTTCCCCCATCCTTTCCCCGTTGCAGCCTCTCCCAGCTACCCCTCCAACCCCTCCATGTCCTTCTTCCACAGTGTTCTCCGAGCCGTAGATTCAGGGGCTGTGATGGAGGTGTGCCCACTGTGGCTGGGTTCCCACAGTCCACTGGGCTCTCATTGTGTTCACTGTGGTCTTCTGTGCTTGTTTCCATTTGCTGGAAAGACGGGCTTCTTTGATGAAAGGTGACGGGGGCACCCCGAGGTTTCCTCTTGTGGAAAGGACAGTAGGCACTTGGAAGCAAGGCTGAGGCTGGATATGTAGGAGGACATGGCTGAGGGGTGGTGGCTTGCTTTCATTCACACTCCCTCACTTCCTGGCTTCCTCCCCTTTCCAGTTTTCCTTGTGTATTTCAAAGTTCTTTGTTTCTGAACTGTTAATGGAGTTGCATGTCTGAGACAGGTCCTGCTGTATGGAAGAGTAATCCTGTTGTCAAGGGTGGGTGTGAAAACTCCATGTGAGCCACACACCTCCAGTGGACTGGACTGGAGGGAGGGAGGGAGGAGTAATTCCCCTGGTAGATGTTTAGAAACAAGAAGCAAAGGAGAGTGAGGGCAGGAGGGCTTAGAAAGGCTGCTGAGGAAGGAAAGCGTTACTGCAGTGCATGACGGGGAGGCCAGCCCAGCCTGAGGGAGTGTGCAGAGGAGGGACGTGTGGACGGTGCCCAAACAGAGAGGCAGGGCACACAAGGACTTGATGGAGGTGCCTTTTTTCTTTTCTCTCATTGCTTATTTTCCTTCTTGGGATTGGGAAAAGTGTTGAGCGTTGGAAAGTCACCAAAGCAAAGGGGAAACGCCGTGTTATTGAGGCCGAAGAGCTCCAGCTGGGTTTGGAGTGAGGAAAAGACCAAGTTCGCTGCTTTGGAGAGCATGGTTTCCCAGCCCTTTGCTGTTTCTTATAAAATCCATATGTACATGCTAGGAAACTCACTCCATATGTCTTGGTTTCTTTTGCACACTAAACATTAAGATGTTGGTTTAAAAGAAATGGTCCTGGGCCAAAAACATTATCAGGGTGGTGTGTGTGTTTTCTTTTCTTTGCAAGACTGAAAATTGTGTTTTCATTGTAAAATGGGCACTTTGAATTCCCACAGATTTTCCGACCGTGGTTATACCTATGGCTTTGCTGCTTTTATGTACTTGTACTACTTTAATTTAGAGCACTGTTTCCTGAGTGCCTGTTGTGAGTTAGGTGTGCGAGATTTGGGGAGGATAAATGTGTGAGTCCTGTATGGGGAAGAAAAGTGTTTAGAAGTAGCCGTAAGATACCCTGTAGGAAACTGAGAGAATGCTGAGAACTTCAGGGGAGAGACCATGTCATCTTTGGGGTGTGTGTATGTGTTGAGAAGTATTCCTGAGAAGCTAGTGAGAGTGGGCAGGAGAGTGGAGGTGCAGGGTAGGAGATGGCTGACTAGAGAAGCGAAACTGAAAGTATGAGATGAGGTTAGAAAGGGAATGGGCAGGCTGAGCACCCAGGGTTGGGTGGGCAGGCTGAGAGCCCAGGTACCTGGGTTGCTCAGGGTTGGGTGGGCAGGCTGAGAGCCCAGGTACCTGGGTTGCTCAGGGTTGGGTGGGCAGGCTGAGAGCCCAGGTACCTGGGTTGCTCAGGGTTGGGTGGGCAGGCTGTGAGCACCCAGGCACCTGGGTTGCTCATGGTTTTATATAAACTTGCTTCAGGCCACTTAATTGACTGAGGTGTATAACAGCAAGTAGAGGCACACATAATGAGGAGGAAGGGTTTAGAAAGATTAAGGGTGTGGACAAGAGGTCAAGGCTTTCCAGGGTGAAGAACATCACTCAGCAGGATCCAGTGTCTCGTTTATGTGTGTCTCAGAGGAAAAAGGATCAATCCTGGGAGAACTCACAGGAAATACAAATAGAAATAATAGTTCAGGACATGAGATTGGCTTTTGGTTTATTTAAATATTGCATTTGCATCTTATGACGCTAATGGGGTTAGAGGTTTTTGTGTTTACAGACATTTAAAATACATGCTGAAAACATAAAGTTGAGCATTGTTGTGCATGCTTATAGTCAAGAAGACTGAGGCAAATGGACACTGAGTTCCAGGACGGCCTGCCCAGGGAGTTTGACATGACTAGTTCAGTGGTTCACTTATTTCTAGCACAGATGGGGCATGGGCTTCAGTCTTCTGTAGTGCATCCTGCCCTAACACCACCACCACCAGTGGACACACAAACTGTGTGCTCATTCGGGAACACATGGTGACCTGCCTGATCTCATCAATACATGCGATCATATCTACACAGGAATGAAATTTCTGTATGTAATACCCTGTGAGATATGAGCTTACTCATGGTGATACAGTCAGGTGAGGGTGCTTGGGCTTACACTGGGAGTGTTTGATGTCACTTGCTTTGATATTGCTAGAAT